CTCCTCCTCTTCCTCTTCTTCCTCCTCCTCCTCTTCTTCTTCTTCCTCTTCTTCTTCCTCTTCTTCATGGCAGCTTCTGCCTGAAATGTTGAAGAGTTCCTATTACTCATAACACTAATAGAACATAAGAGTCCTGCTGGATCAGACCAATGGTCTATCTAGTCCAGCATCCTGTCTCACACAGTGGCCTCAACCAGTTCCTCTAGACGGCCAACAACAGGGCAGAGAGGCCGAGGCCTTCCACTGATGTTGCCTCCTGGCTCTGGGATTCAGAGGAGTAGTGCCTCTGAATGTTGGGGTTCCCCTCAGTCACCATGGCTAGTAGCCATTGATAGACAACCTCCAGAATCTAATCCCTTTTTAAAGCTGTTTATTCCTGTGGCCATCACTACACCTTCTGGCAGCAAATTCCACATTTTAATCACTCTCTGTGTAAAGTAGTAGTTCCTTTTGTCCTTCCTGAACGTACTGCCCATCAGTTTTATTGGATGACCTCGAGTTCTAGTACTTTGGGAGAAAAAAATTCTCTGTCAACTCTTTCCACCCCATGCATAATGTTATAAACCTCTATCAGGTCCCCCATTAGTTGCCTCTTTCCTAAACTGAAACATCCCAGCCTCTTCAGTCTTTCCTCATAGGGAAGGTGCTGCAACCCCCTAATCATCTTGGTTGCACTCCTCTGTACTTTTTTGAATTCTGCAATGTCCTTTTGGAGATATAGTGACCAGAACTGTAGGAACTCTTCAACACAGGGTGACAGGGACAACCACAAAATGGCTGCCACAAAATGTCAGGGAGTGAATGTTATGAATAACCTCACTCCCAGGCATTTTGTGGCAGCCATTTTGTGGTTGCCCCCCACACCCTGTGACAGAATTCCAAGTTGCCTTGCAGGCACAAAAAGGTTGGGGACCTCGGGTGCAGACAATCCGTGTTGAATATTAGCAGCTGAAGGAATTGCTGGATGCTTATTTATTACTAGTTACTTATTTAAATATGTTCACTCTCAGATTTTATTCTTTCTCGCTGCTGTGAAACTTTTTCCTGCAGTTCATACTTAGTGTTGGTTTGTTGCTGTCATGAGCTGCCTTGGACACTGGGGCATAAATATTTTCAACACTTTAGTCAATGTTCCCTCTAAGCTGTGGAGTCTTGTGAGCAAAAATTCTACTTTGTGAGCTACTGGCATTAAAGTTATGAGCAAGTGATTTGGCTACTGCATAAATTATTTTGCTCTGGAGCCATCCTCTATGAGCTAAGACGAAAATGTGTGAGTTGGAGGCTAAAAGACTGTGAGCTAGCTCACACTAACCCAGCTTAGAGGGAACACTGATGTTAATTACATTTGTATTGTACCTCTTCTTTGATGAGTTGAGGGTGGCATATGTGGCTCTTTCCTTACCCTGTTCTTTCCTCCTTTCAGTAACCCTGCGAGGTAGGCTAGGGTAAGACAGTGACCCTCTGAGCTCTGGGGCTGAATGTAGATTCGAACCAGAGTCTCCCGAGTGCTCAGGGGTGAGGCTTCAGTACTCCCCTCCTCATCAAAAGCAAAGCTTGAACAAATTCTGCGTTGTAACCCCTCTAATTTAGACAGGTCTCGAAATTCCATTTTCCTTGGCACTTCATTATTATTTAACTTTTCAGTAAGTCTGGATATAGCCCTGAGAACAGACCACCCACTTCCCGATTTTTTAAAAAAATCTTATACATTTTATTTGGTATGCGTTTTTCCAAAGGCAATATTTTGGACATCAAAATGAGGCAGAACAAAAGTGATCAGCTGTTAAGCACATTCCGGAAAAGGACGGATGGATTAGGTAATGTTGATTACGGCGCACTCCTGTGCAGAGAGTTACTCCAGTCTAAGCCCGTTGAAGTCTAATAGACTGGAGTAACTCCTCAGAGGATTATGCTGTTAGTTACATGGCTAACAGCTGTTGACAGAATTAAGTTTGCCTAGTAATCCTCTTGGCAAAGGACACAGTCTTGTGGCGATGAGTTCCACAAGGCCTTGGTAGTTGAAGGAACGGCTGTCTTCATAAAGCCGATGTCTTGATGACTTCCTATGTTTGCTTGAAGGTGGAAAAGGAATGACAATTGCATTTGGTGCTGGCCACCTTGGGCCACTGTGGCGAATCGATGTACAGCCATTCTTGGAGCCCACTCTCTTTCATCTGGCTCTGGGGTCCACACTGGAAGAGGCTACTGGAAGGAACCTCCTCCTGCCATTCCTTTGCCCTGCTTCCTATCAGAAGAGCATTTCTATGCCCTCCTTGTCCTTTGCTCTATTTTTTAACTATCAAATCACAGCTGATTTATGGCAGCCTTGTGAGGTTTTCGAGGCAAGAGACGCTCAGCTGTGGTTTGCCATTGCCTGCCTTTGCATAGCAACCCTGGTATTCCTTGGTGGTCTCCCATCCAAATACAAGCCAGGGCTGACCCTGCTTAGCTTCCGTGATCTGATGAGATCACTCTTACCTTGATGAATTTCTCAACACCTCAAGTGTTGTCCACCCTGGACAGTTCCTAGTGGATATCTTAATTTGTTTGGACTGAGGTTAATTTGTTGTGCTCTGGCTGGTTTTGTTGATTACTTGCTGTGGTTCACTGGTTTATTGCTGCACCATTGCCAGTGTAATGTATTTAATCTATATATCTAATTCTGAAATGGCCCCCGTGCGATCTATATTTGTAGCCACTTTGAACAAACTTGGAAAAGTGGAATATAAATTTTAGGTGAGTGATATAGCTAGGGCAATACATCTCCTTGTGGTGGTGGTGGGTGTTTTCAATTTGTATATTGCTATTTATTTCTTTTTTCTTCCAGGAAGTTTTTTTTTGGGGGGGGCATACCTGGTTCTTTTCTCCTCCAGCTTATTTTAACAACCACCCTGTTAAGTAGGTTAGGCTGAGAAGAGTGACTGGCTCAAGACCTCTCATTTTGCTTCACGGTTGAGTGGCAATTTGAATCTAGCTTGACATTAACCACTACACCACACTGGCAGGTATAGTCCTGAGTCTAAGGTTGCCAGCTGTTGTTTTCTCCCATTAAGCAAAGCAAACAGACCTTGGTGTCAGTCAAGACTACCCCCAATAGAGTAATAACACCGTATATAGACTCCACAAGTAAATCTATAAAGTATGTGTGTATTTTATCAAACAGTGTGCAATAAAAAACAAAAATTAAAAATCACGTGTCAGTATCTCATTCATGTCTCATTCAGTAACTATATATCTATCATGATGCATTCGTCAACAAGTCATCATGTAAGTTTCAAAAATTCACAACTGGAAAATCACAAGTATCAATGGAAAGTCACAGATATCAAAGTAGCCTTGTACACCTATCAGCCAATACTAAGACATTTAATCTTTCCTACAAGAGGATATAATACGAGATATTTAGTAAGTATAAGTATCAAATACAGGGGCGAAGTCCAGGGTCCACCGGTAAAGCACCGTTTCACAGTCTCTTTCAAGATTCGCCCACTTGTAACACTGGGGAAGTTTTCAAGATTTATATAGTTCATAACATGGACAAGAAATTTTTGGTGGAGCACCACCCTCAACAATACTTATATTTCCCTTGAGTTACCAACGTGTTATCAACTATGTAATTCTGGAAAATTTCCCCAGTGTTACAAGTGGACAACTCTTGAAAAAGACTGCAAAACAGTGCTTTACCGGTGGACCATCGAATTCACCCCTGTATTTGATACTTATACTTACTAAATGCCTTGTATTATATCCTCTCGTGGGAAAGATTAAACGTCTTAGTATTGGGTGATACGTGTACGAGGCTGCTTGGATACTTGTGACTTTCCATTGACACTTGCGATTTTCCAGTTGGGAATTTGTCAAACTTACATGATGACTTGATGAATGCATCTTGATAGATACACAGTTATTGAATGTTGTTTTCTCCTAGGCAGGGCTTTAACAGCTGTGCATCAAGGCAGAAATTCTGCAGGTGAAACTTTTTCTGCCAAAGGGATTCACTGATGGAATAGGGAAGAATTAGGGTCTCTGTCCTGTTTACCCCTCTCATCCATTGCTTTGGTTCTGAAGCTGGAGCCAGTTTGTCTCCAATGTGCAGTCACAAGTTCTTGTCCTCATGGCTTCCTTTCACATCCTTTGCTTGCAGGCGACCTCGAATTCCTTTTGGGCCTCGGAGACTTGTCCCTGCCGCTCTCAAAGAACCCGAGCCTTCAGCTGCTGCAGTACAAGTCAGACCTCGTCTCTCGGAACACCAATGAGATCTACCACTACCCCAGCCCCTTGCACGCCGTGGCTTTGCAGAGCCCCCTCTTCACCAGCAGCCTCTCCCAGAGCTCCTCTCAGGAAGAACTCGACGAGGGTCCCGTGGAGCTTGCCGGGGTCAGCTCCCCCAAAAGAATGCTCCCTTCCTCCACAGAGCAGCAGCGGGCCCAGCTGGACCGCTACATTGCCAAGTTGGTGTTGCGGTACAAGTGCCGTTCGGCAGTGAACAGGACAGAAGTGGGATTCCTCTCTGGGAACCAGAAGAGTTTGTCGATGCTGTCTGTCTGCAGTTCCATGCTGGGTGCCAGCCAACTCCTTGCCTCGGCACCAGGGTGGAAGATCCGGCGGCGCATCTCCACCTGCTCCCACTTTCGCTCGCCGGAAGGCTCGGAGGGGGCGCGAGATTCTCAGGTCTTGGATGGCCAAGGAGACTTCACAACATTTCCAGAGATCAGCTCCATCCAATCCAGCACCACCAACCTCTCCAAGGCTAGTGAGCCATCAGTAATGTCCCTCCCTGATCCTCTCCCACCATACCAGGAGCCATCCCGAACCTCCTGTCCAAAGAAGCCACCTGGTGGATCGGAAAGAGGGGTTCTCGAGTGGGTTGACCGTACCCACTGTTACATCGTCCAAGTGGAGTCTCCTGCCCGGAAGGTTCTGTCGTTGCCCCCGGCTGCTGTGGACTTGGACAAGCTATACAAAGGTAAGCATGCTTCCCGGGAACTGGTGAAGACAGCAGAGAGGCTGGAGAAGCCTGCGGAACGGAGCTGGCTAAGCCCTCGGGAACTGCTGCGCAAGCTTAGCCTCCGTCGTAAGCCATCCAACCGGGTGGGGAGCAGGGCCCGGGCCAGCTCGGAGATCAACGTCCATGCAGCGGCGGGGCTGGTATGCAATGGTGACCCTCGAGTTGGCAAAAGCAAAGCGGTCAAGACCAAATGGGCGTCCGTCCTAGAGATCTCCAACAAGGCCCCCGGGCGGCATC